GCGACGAAGAGACTCAATCTCTCAGGCAATATCTACAACCTCCTCGAATGTAGCACCAGTCACCCTCTCCCTGGTCATAAGAATACGGAGCTGATAAGTAAGACCATCAACAAACCTCCTGATCCTCTCTCTATCTGTCGGGACCAACCAGATGGCATGACGAGCCAACTTGGAGAACCTCAACTCATACTGCAACACGGTCATCTCCCCCTGACGCAACCAATCAAACTGCCTACACAGCTCTTCTCTGTGAGATTGCGGCACATACTTCTCCAGAAAGAGAAAGGATAACTGCTGCCAGGTAAGGGTGTTGCACCAACAGCCCTACACCTCTCAAAATCCTCCCACCAAGTGAAAGCAGGTCCTGAAAACTGATAGGTAGTAAAAGCGACCCTGCTGGTCTCTAGAATACCCGCGGTAGAAGCATCCTCTAACACTTGTCCAAAAAGCCCTGCGCATCCTCGCCCTCTACACTACTAAAGGTCGGAGGCTGAAGCCCACCTAATCTCTCCAATCTACACTGCTCGTCCTCTGGTATAGCAGGAACTACATAGTCCTGAGCAGCTGCAACCGGCTGGGCGGGGTGTGCCCCCGGCGTCTGAAGTCCCTGCACGACCTGCTCAAGTGTGTGAGAGGCGGGAGTCTAACTACCTCCCCCATCCTGAGAAGTAGCTGCGGCTGTAGTGGCTGAAACCGCCTGAGCTAGGCCAGTGCAAACTGATAAGATCTGAGCCAAAGCCTCCTGAAGACCCGGAATCACATGGGCACAGCCGGTGCCTGAGCTGGTGCTGCTGGAGCGTCCACAGCTGGGACCTGGTCCTGAACTGGGGCAGCTGCTAGATCTACAGGTGCTCCCCTTGCTGCTCCGCCTCTACCACGAGCACGACCGCGTCCTCGGCCTCTGGTGGCACTGGTGGTCGTCCATCCTGTCCGGTAGCGCGTGTCCTCACCATGTGTGAGAGAATAGAATAACAAAAGTTTAGTACTCGGATCAACAAGTTCGCACGACAAGAATTTCAAGAATATGAAGTTTTTCCTAAAGGTTCTTCAGCCTCTCGAGGATAAATACAGACGTCTCCCTACCGATCCGCGAGACTCTACTAAACATGCTCATAACTCGTGAGACCTATGTAACCTAGGCTCTGATACCAACTTGTTATGACCTTAAACTCGAACCCGGTCGTGATGGCATCTCTCGTGAAGACAAGGCCATCCATTTAAACCCAATTCACTTTTTAAAACAGTTAAACAACACAAAGCAATCTAAAATATGATTTAGTAATATTAAGTAGCGGATAATATCAATAAAGTGCGGAAGTACAACCCAACACAGCCCTAACCGGGGTGTCACAAGTCACGAGCATCTATCAACATTGAATACTCAATTATGACTATAGAGTTTAATACAGAACTAAGGACATAAAGGAAAGAGATAGGGAGGAGCTCCGGGCTGCGAACGCCAACAGCTACCTAAAGACTCCTCGAGATCCACCTGAAGCTGGAAAGAATCAGCACTCGGGAGCGGGACCAGCAACGCCTGAATCTGCACACAAGGTGTAGGGAGTAAAGTGAGTACTCCAACTCAGTGAGTAACGAATGTAAATAACGACTAAAAGTAAGAAAACACGTAAAGCACAAGGCATTCTATAATGAAGCAGTAAAACCATTTAAAAGTAGTAAACCAGTGGAAAGTCAACTGAAATCCTTTTTCAACAATAAACAGGTAATTAACAGACAGTTAAGTTAAGGTAAACAAATAGAAGTCCGCCCCTCGGGCACAGTATCAACAAATCCGCCCCTCGGGCAACATCTTAGAACAATACCATCCCCTCGGGCTCAATCTCTCATCACAATGGGTACCCGCGCTCACTGGGGGTGTGCAGACTCCTAGAGGGGCCCTGTACGGCCCAAGCATAATAACAAGCCATCTCGTGGCAACAAAACTAGGCCCTCGGCCTCATATCAATCAAGCCACCTCGTGGCGTACATATCTCAGGCTCTCGGCCTCAAATCAGTATCAGTGTTTCCTCACGACATAGGCCCTAGGCCTTACTCAGCCAAAAATCCTCACAAGCCACTCGGGCAATAGTAAAACAATGTTTCTCAGCCCAAAACATCATTTAGAATATCATTGAAGTATTAAAACTGAGTAAACATGGCTGAGTATGAAAACAATGGAAAATAGCATGACTGAGTTCAAGTATAAAGTTAAAACAGTGAGGAAATATCAATAAGCATTCCCAGAGGGTTCAAATAGTAGGCACGAAGCCCAAATATGGCATTCAGCCCAAATAATGATGATAACAAATAGATTTCAATCAAATACACGATAAAATCATCAATCGGGGCGGACCAAGTCACAATCCCCAATAGTGTACGACCCCATGCTCGTCATCAAGCATGTGCCTCACCTCAACATAGCACTACGATGTGTAATCCGGGGTTTCAAACCCTCAGAACATCATTTACAATCATTACTCACCTCGAACCGGCTAAATCTCTAGCTCGCGATGCCTTTGCCCCTCGAATCGGCCTCCATGCGCGTCGAATCAATCCAAAATCAGAACGAGGACGTCAAAATACTCTAAGGGAACAAAGCCAAAGAGAAACAATCAATAAAAGGCACAAATCCCGAAATTACCAAAACCTGACCCCCGAGCTCACGTCTCAAAATTCAGAAACTTTTATACTAATAGATTCCTTATCCTCCCACGAGTTCATACATATCAAAATTTTGCAAATCCGACCCCAAATGGTCCTTCAAATCCCCAATTAAAAGTCCAAGTTTCCAAGCCCTAGTTCTTCAATTTTTTAGCTTAAGTTCCATAATTTTCTAGGTGAAATTCTCATAATAATCGAGTTTAAAGTCCAAGAATCTTACCTCCAAGTGATTCCCCTTGAATCCCTCTTCAATCTCCTTCAAAAATCTCCAAAAACGACCAGCTATGGAGGAAATAAGCCCCAAAATCGCGGACAAGACGAGCTTAAAAACCTTCTGCCCGGCCCAATTCCTTCTTCGCGAACGCGGTCAAACCCTTGCGTTCGCGAAGTACAAATTTACTTTGACCAACTTTTGTCTTACGCGAACGTGACATGACCATCGCGAATGCGATGGTTCCTCAGACTTACTCTTCGCGAACGCACTCCCTCTCCCGCGAACGCAATGAACAATTTAACCTCAAACCCCGCTGACCCAATTCCTCTACGCGATCGTGAAGCCCTTCTCGCGATAGTGATGCATCACTTCCCAACCCTCCGCGAACGCGAAGGCCAAAATTCCACGGACTTCCTCTGACTCTTCGCGAATGCGAGGGTCCACTCGCGAACGCGAAGAGTAAAAACCTGCAACAGCTGAACCTGCAACTTCTGCAATTTTTTTAACTCCAAAATGATATGTTCAACCCTTCGAAACTCACCCGAGGCCCCCGGGACCTCAACCAAAGGCACGAACACATCCTAATACCTTATTCAAACTTGTTCCAATCATCAAAACACCTCAAGCAACATCAAATCAACCAAAACACATCAGATTCAAGCCTAAGTTTCTAAAATCTTCCAAATTCCGCTTTTAATCAAAACCCAACCAAACCACGTCCGAATGACCTGAAATTTTGCACACACATCCCAAATGACACAACGGAACTACTGCAACTCTCGAAATTCCATTCTGACCCCTATATCAAAGTCTCGCCTATCAACCGGAAATCGCCAAAATATCAACTTCGCTAATTCAAGCCTAAATCTATTCCGCACCTCCAAAACTCATTCCTATCACACTCCTAAGTCATAAATGACCTCCAGAAGCTAACCAAACCATCGAAACTCACATCTGATACCTCTAACACATAAGTCAACATCCGGTTGACTTTCCAACTTAAACTTCCTTAAAAGAGACTAAGTGTCTCAAACCTTACCAAAATCATTCCGGATTCGATCCGACCAACCCGATACCACAAAACACGGATAACAAAGCATAAAGAAGCAGAAATGGGGGAACGGAGCGGTAACTCATGAGACGATTGGCCGGGTCGTCACATACACATGCTTGGTAACGGGCGTGTGGGGTGTACCGTAGGAATGTGACTTGGTAAATTCTATAGAACTGTGTAGTTGAATAAGTTGTTATTATCCGCACATTTTCTACGTAAAGAGAAATCAAACTACAAATCATGTTTGAAATTATGTTTAGGCTATGTTTTGCCACAATAGTGACCCACTGAGGCCGGGTACATGTTTAATTATCTGCTAACACCCAGTCACAGTTTTACTTGCATATTATGCCGCACTATCTATTGTTCATTATTGATGCATAACTTTATTGTTGTTTGTGTTGATTTTCATGATTTTTGAGAGCCCGAGAGAATGTAGAGACTTATGATTGAGTGAGGCCGAGGACCTGGTTGTGAGATATTGATACTGTAGAACATGAGTTGTCCGTGCGGATCCAGAGTGTTTTGTGACACTTAGTCCCTAAACGGAAGCTTAAGTTATAGGATTTTGACCGTAGTCAGAATTGTATGAAGACGACTCCAATATGGAATTTCATCGGTTCCTTTAGCTTTATTAGGTGATTTTGGGCTTAGGTGCATTTCCAGATTGTGTTTTGGAGGTCTGTAGCTTATTTAGGCTTGAAATGGCGAAAGTCGAATTTTTGAAGATTTTGGTCGGAAGTGGACTTTTTTGATACCGGGGTCGGATTCCAATTCCGAAAGTTAGATTAGGTCCCTAATGTTGAATATGAGTTGTGTGCAAAATTTGGGGTCAATCGGATGAGGGTTGATAGGTTTCGGCATCGGTTGTAGAAATTTAAAGTTTCAAGTTCATTAAGTTTGAATCGGAGGGTGATTCGTGTTTTTAGCTTTGTTTGATATGATTCAAGGGCTCGACTAAGTTTATATGGTATTTTAGGACTGGTTGGTATGTTTGGTTGGGGTCCCGGGGGCCTCAGGTGTGTTTTGAATGCCTAACGGATTGAATTTGGACTTAGGATATTGCTGAAGATTTGCTGGTTTCTGGACTTTCTCACCTGCAGAGGGGAGACCGCATCTACGGAGGGTAGCTCGCAGATGCGGCCCTGGTCTGGGTAGCCAGTGGTCGGAGGTGCAAAAAAGTGACCGCAGAAGCGGAGCCGCTCATGCGGAGAAGCGATTGCATAAGCAAAGGCCGAGCTGGGAAGGTTATCGCATAAGCGGACAGGGATCCCCAGGTGCGCACACGGAGGTGCGGCCACCTGATCGCAGAAGCAGACTATTGGCTGTAAGTGGAATTTTGGACTTTGAGAGCTCAGTGTAAGGCGATATTTCGAGGTTTCTTCAAGGAGATTGTTGGGGGTAAGTGATTCTAACCCGGATTGAACTATATTTCACGAATCTGTTACTATTTTCATCTTCTAATTTGGGACTTGAGTTGGAAATTTGGGGCAAAATGGTAGAAACTTCCTAGACTAATATTTCGATTTTTTAAAGGTGATTTGAGGCCAGATTTGAGTAATTCTTGTATGGTTGGATTCGTGAGTGATTAGGTGTTCATATTTTGTGACTTTTACCCGATTACGAGATGTGGGCCCGGGGAGACTTTTAGGGTCGATTTCCTAATTTCTTGCTTTCGCTTAGATTTTATTAATTAGATTAGTTTCTTATAGATATATTTATGATATGTAATTAATTTTGGCTAGATTTGGTCCATTCGGAGTTGGATATTCGTGGGAAAAAGCATTGCTACCGATTGATTGAGCTTGCTTCGAGGTATATGGCTTGCCTAACCTTGTGTGGGGGAAGTCCCCTTAGTATTTGGTACTGTTATGATATGTGAGCGCTGTGTACGCGAGGTGACGAGTGAGTACACGGCTTATTTGTTGAGAAACTTGATTTTTACAGTGTAATAACCTGTTTTCATCCTAATTGAGTATACTAGCATATGTGGATATCCTGTTAGCCTAGAATAGCATGTCTACGTGTCTTAATTATTTATCTGAACTCTTTGTAGCATGCTTAATGGATTCCTTCTTCTTTTCTTGATTTGTACTTAGTCTAAACTGTAGTTTTTCTTGCTGTAGCTGCTATCTTCATTTGTTTGAGCTGCGTGTTTATTTTTGGGACTACGGGACGGTATCCTGGGAGATCCCCCTGCACATTTACTTTTGAAACTACGGGGCGGTACCTCGGGAGTTCTCCTTGCACATTTACTTTTGGACTAGGAGGTTGTACCTCGGGACTTCTCCCCGCATATTTATTTTAGGACTACGAGACGGTATCCGGGAGATTCCCCGCTATTTAACCTGTGTGTTGTACTATTATTTGTTGCGTTTCCTTTTGTTAAACTCTAGTCTATTATTATATTGCATATTTTCCTGCCTTATTTATTATTGACCAGTGGGCCTGATTTGAACTCGTCACTACTCGACCGAGGTTAGGCTTGGCACTTACTGGGTACCATTGTGGTGTACTCATGCTACTTTTCACACATGTTTCCGTGTGCAGATCCAAGTACATCATTCCAGCCTCGCTATTAGTTATGCACCTACTACTGTTACAGAGACTTCAAGGTACATCTGCCGCGTCCGGATACCTAGGAGTCCCTCTCTATCTCTTTGTGTAGTTCTTCCTCTACTACTTCTAAATACTAATGTATAGAACAGTTAGTCAAATTCTTAGAATCTTGTGACTTATGATGTTCCGGGTCTTGGAAAAACTCTGTATGTATTTTTCGAGAGTTGTTATTGTATACGCCGAGCGGAATTTCTATCAATTATTTCAATACTGTTGTTGTTAGTGATTTAGATTTACGTTTTCATTTTCATTGTTATTTCGCAAATGTTAGGCTTACCTAGTCGTAGAGACTAGGTGTCGTCGCGACCTCTCACGGAGGGAAGATTGGGTCGTGACACTTCTCTATCTTCTTGCTTATTATATTTAGTCTCGGACTATTATAGATCGTGTTATTCCATACTTGTGATGTATAGATGCTCATATACTCTGTGACACCCTGATAGCTGGGAATTTCGCGTTGAGTTTTGGGTTTATGTCCCTGTTTATGGAAAAAAATTGTTATTTAAACTGCTTTAATTCATTTTTTTAAAAAGTGTTGGGATTATTTCGTAGTGTCAGCTTTTCTTATACCTCGATAGGCGCCATCACGACAAGTTAGAATTTTGGGTCGTGATATAAGAGCTCAAATCATCCTTCAAGAGAAGTCCATAATTTGAAACTTCTCCACTAAAAGAAGTCATAATCCAAACTTAAAAGAACCGAATAGTGAAATTATTGCTCTCTTTAAGTATCCTAATATCGCCACGTAAAAGAAGAACTTAAGAAACAACGATGGCAGAGGTGAAAGTTTATGGTATTATAACAGGCCACTTTAATAGATAGTAAAAATAAATTTCATATAACTTATTATATAATATATAACTTATTTATAATTTAGCTACAACTTTCATACATTATTTATACCTAGTTAAATACAACTACAATATCATACAACTTAAATACAATTTTCATACAAATTTTATACAATATGTCTTTTGTATAATTTGTATCAGATTTGTATATATTTTGTATGTGGTGTGTGCTACTTCCTCTCTAAAATTACAATCAAAACTTGCTCTCTTAATACAATTTTGATACATATCAACAAATTTATGTAAAAAGATAATATTGATAACTTTACATATTTTATACAACAATTCATACGTTATACAACTATTTTTTAACTTTCATACAACATTGAAATAAAAAAAATATAACTAAAACATAACGCAATTTAATATAATACAAATGTACTACAATTTCGTAAGTATATTACATGTCATATCTTCTTCGTTTTCGAGTTTCAATATAAAATTCAGCTAAAATATTAGTCAATCAATTAAATAGAATGAAGAAAAAAATTAATAATAGCATGAGAGAATGAAAGGAAAGAGAAAAAGGCCCGGACACATACTGAACCACAATATCACGAATTCATGAGGTTTTAGTTAAGATGTATGTATAACTAATTCAACTGAGTTTTCTATCTTTCCATAGTAATTTGGAGAAAATAAGTCTAATGTATGTAGCGTGTGCTTCTTCCTTTCTAAAACTTCAATCAAAACTTACTCTCTTAATACAATTTTAATACATATCAACAACTTTATGTAAAAAATAGTATTGATAACTTAAATACAAATTTTATAAAACAATTCATACGTTGCAACTATTTTTCAACTTTCATACAATATTTAAATAATATATATATATATATATATATATATATATATATATATATATATATATATATATTATATATATATAGCACAGCAGAAATACAATTTCCATACAATTATATACAACTTACTAACTATTTTGTAAGTATTTTTATGTCATGTGTTCTTCTTCTTCTTCTTCTTCTTCGAGTTTCAACCTGAATTCCATCCAAAATCAAGTCTAATCTTCACCAAAACACTTCCCCTCAAAAATTGAGATATAAACTCCAAATAATATTTCCAATTATTTGCAACCAACACCTCAATCCAAACAAATAATGATTTTTTGACAAACGCCAAATTCAATTTCAAAGTTCAAAAGCTTTTTAAATGGCTTTAAATGGTGGAGAGTAAAACACCTTTAGGGGTGGCAATTTGAGCCCAAATCCATCAACCCGTCCAGAGATTATGGGGTTTAGGTTACAAATATTTTAGCTCATGGGGTCAAATTTGGTTTAGCCCAAGTTAATCCAATTATATTTATATCCTATTCTGACCTTTAGCCAGCCCAATACAACACATGGAACTTAACCAAACAAAAGTTGAACCTCTTTTCCAAATAAACCGAAACCATCCGATACCACATTCATCCAAAAAAAAGATATGGCCATCTCTCTAGGTGCACAACCCTTTAGATCGTCTTATTCGTGCTTGAAAAACAACCCCCATGCTCCTTTTAATGGACATTCTTAGCGTCCCTCCTCTGATTTCGATTCATACTGAAAAATAGGTGAATAGTTGATAGCAGATGGGGGTCAAGCTAAAAGGCAGAGCTTAGAATTGGATTTCTAAGTTGGAAATCCGTTAGAAAAGCTGTAAGCATGCAATTGTGCTTGACGAAGACCACATGGCCTTATGGAAAGCGAAAAGATGAGTAAGCTTAGAAGGATCAACAAATCCAGGAGGTTGTTGCATGTATACCTCTTAACAAGTCAAAGACCATGGAGAAGCATTTTTCACGTCCAAGTTGACGAATGGGCCAAAATTTTCGTGAGTTATCTCAACCCAGACTTATATAGAAAATTTCATTTAGCTTGCCCCAATTTTACTTTTTTTTTTTTGTATTTTCAATTTTATGTTCTTTTGTTTTTCTGCATCACTCACCCGCCCCACCCCATCCCCAATATTTTTTCAACTTACACATTTAAAGGTAAAAGGTTTTTTTTATGCAAAATGAACATAGTTCTAAAACATGGATCAAGTTGGGCGGGTTGGGTTATGACCCATTGTTTAGCCCATCTTGACTCAGCTCATCTTAGCCCAAGTACACTTTGGGTTGGGTTGGACAATGACCCATTTATTAACCTAACCCATCTTGACCCGCCCAAATTCAGCCCAACCAGCCCATTTGCCACCCCTAAACACCTTCAAAATTTACAATTTCAATTTGAATACCAATTGTGCAAAATGAAAGAAAATTGCTAAGTTAAAACGATTGAAATCCATTGATGAATTCTATTAAAACTCTATACAACAAGAAAGCATGAAAAACAAAGAACATCAAATGAAGAAAAATGGGGGGGGGGGG